TATTCTAAGCAGGTACAGAGGATGGCTTTATCAATCCTTAAAAATGGTTCCCATCCTCTAAGGGGTGAATTTCAGCTTCTTTCCTCAGGACGGAGGTTTCTATTTCCGAGATGCAGGACAAAGCGTTATAAAAATAGCTTTGTCCCTGTTGCTGTCACTGAATTAAATAAGAACTGTTTTTGATTCGAAATATTAAAATTACTATATATGTGCCACAGTGAGCTTTATATATTTACTAGGTATGTGTGTTTTTTTAAAGGGATGCCAAATGCTGTCATTTTTCTGTAAAGCAAATTTACCTTGTCTTTGGGTATAAATAAAGTTACCTTGACCTTGATAGAACCAACAAGAGAATCGATAAGGAATTGAATTGATAAGTGATGTTGATAATGGAATCAGAATTCCAACATTCGTATCAATTCCCATCCCTAGTTGGGACAAGGACAGAGAGCAAGTAAAATGTACTGAACCCACCTCTGGTTTCTCTGGCAGGGTTTGCTGGCACATGGTTTACTGAGGTGGCACGGGCCAAAGACAAACTGACTGTCCTTGAATCCCATACATCGAGCAACGCAGGCACTGGGATATGTCCGCCCATTAGAGGCACACACTGGAACAAAGCGGTCCTGGCAGCTACAGGGAAGACCTAGGGGAGGGCAGAGGGAGACAGAAACCACTATTTCACTGAGAAGCGTGACTTATATACAACCAAGAGTTAACAGAAAGCTAAAAGAAACAATTTGCTTTAAGGAAAATAACCTGTTAGGGTTGTATTCTAACCCATCATACTCTCCAAAGTAGAGGCAAACATCTCAGAATACTGGGGTTTAGTTCTGTCCATGCCTTGCTTTTTAACCCACCGGATGCAATTTTAGCAATCTAATCATAAACCCATATCTCTTTTTTTTTCTTTCCTTTTTTTGTGTCCCGTTTGGATCTTTAGCCATCAGAATTGTTGTCTTAAGGCCAAGAAAGATGCCAAGCGGATTTATTTTACCAAGTGGATCATCATGGCCTTGCCATATTGGTCCATTTGATTGACCTTTATTATAATTATGTATTTATTTTATTTTCAGTTCCTACAAACGGGACAGACATGACTGGGGGATAGGACAGGGAGAAAGAATGAAAGAAAGAGAGGGAGAGAAAGAAAACCAGAGGGGAGAAGAGACGGTGAGAAGGGGGGGAAGAAAGAAAGAAAAACAAACAAAACACCTGGATCACCTGTATGGAGAAAAATAAAAAACAGAAGAGAAAGCAAACAAAAAGAGCAACATAATAAAAACAGCACCATCACAATAAACTAGCTAGCAGTAGATAACAGTAGATACTAAATATTAAACGATATTGTGCAGCACGCAAGATAGACAGCGCACAGTGTGCTTTGAGGCAGCAGCCAAGAAAGCTGTAGTCCGCGTCCGTGAACACCCGTGTGTACACCTGTGTGGATCAGCATGCTTGTGTTCCAAAGGTTTGCGAACAGGCACACGCGGACACAGACGTGCATTTCCACCCCATATACACAACCAAATACTCGGCACTCACCCAACGTGTAGACAGACACAAATAGACACTGCACAGACAGTCGCACTCCCCAAACATACTCTATATCCCAGGTCCAGGTACCCCCGCCCTCAGAGGGGCAAGCCGCACCTAAACCCAGGAGATGTAACCCTTCTCTCTGGGGTGGAGGCAAGCGGACCACCTCCTTATCTGCAGTAGCGGGGAGGCCCCGCATCCCAGACCCCAGTCTGACGGCCAGCACCTCCTCCCAGCCCCCCAGCCCTGACGGCTAACAGAACCGGGGTGAGTGAAGACCTCAAACCTCCCTACGCCCGCTCATATGTAATGTTGCTGTGTGCTGTTCTAAAGTGCATTTAAAACTCAGGAGAGCATGGTACTAGCTTCCTCTCAGAGAGCAGCACAGCTCCTCCCAAAAACCCTTAGTGTCTACATGCATTTAAAATTGAGGGTAGGGCACCAGCGCCAGAGGTGGGTTGGAGTACACCGACCATCCTCTGGATGCTGTAAAATGTGCCCACCCCCAAGGCCCTATATGTATGTGTTATGTGAGAGTGTGAGTAATGTAGATGTCTAGGCTGCAGAATAAAATTGAGGCACAGGCGGCCAGAAGGGGACAGAGGGGGAGTGCCCCCCCTGCACCTTGGTGACATACCTGCACCCCAAGCCCTGCGTGTGTGGGTGTGGTAGAGCGGGAATAGGGAGGCAGCTGAGGATGGGGAGGGAAGAAAGGGAGGGGCAAGCGGCCCCTCCCTGGGGCCAGCTCCCCCGCTGACCCCAGTAGGCACCCTCACACTCTGGAACCCACCAGGGCAAGGGGGCCCAGGCCCATCCAGACCGGGGCCCGCAGCAGCAGCACTGCCCGGCCCCACAGAGTCCGGGGCAGCCCACCCGACTCCACCCCAGAGAAAACTGCACCCACCCCATCATCCAATCATCTCCCAAATTACACAAGACAATAGACACCCAGGTTGAGTTCATTCTCCACCTCTCCTATATCTCTCCCCCACCTGCAGAGTGAGCTCCTGTAGTGAGGAGACCACCTGCAAAGATATGACAACCTCCCCACCAGTTAGAGAGCCCCCTAGTTGGGCCAATGCACCTGAGGTGCATGTCAAAAGTGAATGTCACTCAGTTTGGCTCTTGCAAATAATTAGTAATGTTCTTAAATGTTAAACACCTCTAAAAACAACCCTTATCTCTTTAATTATTTTGGTGAAAAGTGAATTTAATTCATGTTGAAATAAGGCTACAACATTACAATACTTTCCAGAAGCACTGTATCACACATTTATTGGGAATATATAGTCCAGGTATACCTGATGAAGTTCAGATGGAAATAAATGTTATAATTTTATAAATGTACAAGCAGTAAGTGAGGCAGTTCGTAGGAATTGTATTTAATTATTTTTATTGTCTTTTTTTCCTTCAAGCCACATGATGCCCATTCAGGTGTGCAGAATTTTTGTGGTGAAAAATAGTCAGAAGCCACAACAGTTATGAAGAGGCTTTTATAAGGCTGTAAATTGCAAACTTTTCAAGGCTAAAAAAGTGGTATTTTAAACCTTTGTTTAGTTTTGTGCTTTGACATCGGCTTCCTGTTGGGCTCTGGATGTTACTGCGTGGAATATTCTTGGACAAGTGTGATTTTTCTTTTCTTCAACACTGAATTTGGGGATAATCCATCGTACATGTCTAACATGTTTTAATAACCAACAAAAGCCACTTTTATCTCTTATATTTAATAAAATAATATTGCATTAACCTGCCTCTCTGTGAATCGCTACCATACCATGGTGGAGGGGTTTGTCTGTCCCACGGATCCCAGGGGGTATGTTGTCTGGGGGCTGGCAAATTGGTCCTGGGTGAGGGACCAGACAAAGAGCGATTCAGAAGACCCTTATGAGAAAAACATCGAGGGAACAGTTTACCCTGCCCTGGATAGGGTTACCGGGGCCCCGCCCTGGAGCCAGGCCTGGGGAGGGTGCCCGAGGGCGAGTGTCTGGTGGCCGGGCCTTAGTCCATGGGGCCCGGCCGGGCACAACCCGAAAAGGGGACATGGGCCCATCCTCCCGCAGGCCCACCACCCACAGGAGGCGCCATAGGGGTCGGGTGCATTGGAGGCCCTGGCGGACTGATCCCCGGCTGCCAAGACTGGCAATAGGGACATGGAATGTCACCTCTCTGGTGGGGAAGGAGCCTGAGTTAGTGCGTGAGGTTGAGAGGTACCGGCTAGATATAGTCGGGCTCACCTCTACGCATGGCTTGGGCTCTGGAACCAGTCTCCTGGAGAGGGGCTGGACTCTGTCTCAGTCTGGAGTTGCTCCTGGTGAGAGGCAGCGGGCTGGGGTGGGTATTCTAATATCCCCTCGGCTTTTTGCCGGTATATTAGGGTTCTTCCCGGTGGATGAGAGGGTTTGTTCCCTGTGCCTTAGGGTCGGGGAACGGGTCCTGACTGTCATCTGCGCTTATGCGCCGAGTGGCAGTTCAGAGTACCCAGCCTACTTAGAGTCTCTGGGTGGGGTGCTGGAAGGTGCTCCACCTGGAAACTCTGTTGTCTTTCTGGGAGACTTCAATGCTCACGTGGGTAACGACAGAGAGACCTGGAGGGGTGTGATTGGGAGGAATGGCCTCCCTGACATGAACCCAAGCAGTTCTTTGTTATTGGACTTCTGTGCAAATCACAGTTTGGCCATAACGAACACCATGTTCAAACATAAGAGTGTCCATAAGTGGACGTGGCAGCAGGACGCTCTAGGCCGCAGATCGATGATCGATTTTGTAATCGTATCAGCAGACCTGCGACCATATGTTCTGGACACTCGGGTAAAGAGAGGGGCTGAGCTGTCAACTGATCACCACCTGTGCAGCCATCCGGGAGTGGCTCAGAGTAGAGCTGCTGCTCCTCCACATCGAAAGGAGCCAGCTGAGGTGGTTCGGGCATCTGACAAGGATGCCTCCTGGGCGCCTCCTGGATGAGGTGTTCCAGGCATGTCCCACCGGGAGGAGGCCCCGGGGCAAACCCAGGACACGCTGGAGAGATTATATCTCTCGGCTGGCCTGGGAACGTCTTGGTGTTCCCCCGGATAAGCTGGAGGAGGTGGCTGGGGAGAGGGAGGTCTGGGCTTCTCTGCTTAGGCTGCTGCCCCCCCGACCCGGCCCCGGATAAAGCGGATGAGTATGGATGGATGGATGGATTAACCTGTAGTTCATTATCAGAAATGTCCAAACTCTATTGAAACACTAACCAGTAAAGTGTCGATGACTGTCATCTGTGTATCCAGAGCTGAGACACTCTTTAGTGGAGCAGACGGTCTCACCAGCAAAGCAGTAACAGTTGTGGCAGTCGGTCTTGAAAGACGTCCCATGGCCTGTCGGTAACACATATCGACCAAAAACATGTTAGAAAGTTGCTGAACTGAATGTGCAAGATTCATCGCTCAGATTTCACAGTGTAACCACAACCAGGAGTTCAGTTACATTAATAGTGTATCTGTAGTACCCATTGCTACCAGTGACACTTGGAATAAGTCAACAGCACTCACCAACTCATCACTGTGCTCAGACCGTAGACTGAAGTGCATTATTGTAGAGCTGGGCGATATAAGATTTTTTCATATCACGATATATTTTTTTCATTTCAGGCGATAATGATATCTATCACGATATAAGCCAAATAACTATATTTGTAAGATTTAAATGTGCCGTTGCTCACAAGTAAAATGTGAAATAATCAGCAGCTTGTTTTTATTTAAATATTTATTTCCCATAATAAGTTCAACAGGGTAGATGTACTTAAGGAACATGAGACTTTTTCAGATAAATAAAGGCAAATATTGCAAACTACACAAAAGGCAGCCGCTAAAGCGTTTAAGTTTCAAAATAGAACAAACGAAACAGACTAAATTGTCAATTCCACTTAGAAACAAAATATTAATTCTAAAAATAAATCTTAGTTTGTTTTACAGAAGAACAGACGAAACTGACTAACTTTTGTCAATATCAAAGAGATTGAGCATGCACCAGTTTATTGTATTTCCAGACTTGCTTTCGGCACAATTTACAGTGCTCTGTTTTTTGTCAGACTTGAAATAGCCGAAATACTTTTACACTACGGAACTTCTATGGCTCTTCCATTCGACAATCTCTCCGGCGTTGGAACCATCATCTGTTTTCTCTTCGGTAACCTTCGGTCACGCTCTCGGTTGATTTTTCTCTAGTCGGCACACTCATTTCCTCCATTACCCGCTGGCTGCTTCCCAAACAAATACACATGTGCGGCTTGGCACTTGTGCTGTACGTAACAAGTCACGTGACGTGACGCTGCGGCTGTGATTGGTTCGGCTCTGCGCTACTTAATTTGGATTGGCTGTTCTTTTTTTTTTTTTAAGAGGACAAGAGCGGCGAGGTCTATCGCAATAGTCTAATTTTTCTATCGAGAAAAAGTTATTTCGCAATACATATCGTTATCGTTCTATCGCCCAGCTCTACATTATTGTAACCTTATGTTTGCATTCTAACGCGTTCAACACTGAACTTTGTATAGGTTAGTAACATTAACATGAATGACAATTAACACTGCTAATTAGTAGTAAGCAGACGTGGAAAGTAACTAAGTAAAAATATTTCATTACTGTACTTTAGCAGAATTTTCAGGTATGTGTACTTTACTTCAGTAGTTCTGATAACTTTGTACTTTTACTTCCTACATTTTCAAACAAATATCTGTACTTTGTAGTCCTTGGAGTACACATTGACAATAAACTGGACTGGGCTAAAAACACCACAGCACTTTACAGGAAGGGCCAGAGTCGTCTCTATTTTTTGAGGCGACTGAGGTCCTTCAACATCTGCCAGAAAATGCTCAGGATTTTCTATGAGTCTGTTGTGGCCAGTGCGATCCTCTATGCTGTTGCATGCTGGGGGAGCAGGCTGAGGGCAGCAGATGCCAACAGACTTAATAAACTGATCCGTAAGGCCAGTAATGTTGTGGGGATGGAGCTGGACACCCTCAAGGTGGTGTCGGAGAGGCGGATGCTGTCCAAGATAAAGACAATGTTGGATAACACCTCCCACCCACTCCATGACATGTTGGTCAGTCACAGGAGCTCGTTCAGTGAGAGACTGAGATTACCGAAAAGCACCACTGAACGACACAGGAAATCATTCCTGCCTGTGGCCATCTCCCTGTACAACGCATCCACTTAACACACTGTTTGCTGCTACAACTACACATGCTATTTATTTATGAGTGACTTATGTATGTATGTATGTATATATATGTATATATTGTACTATTCTTAGTTAGCGTATTGTCTGTCTTGTCTTAATGTTGGTTTATAATGGAGCACTGTAACAAAAAATAATTTCCCCCAGGGATCAATAAAGTATTCTGATTCTGATTCTGATTACATTTTCAAAACAGGCTGGTTACCTTAGGCTTAATGAATTCTAAGTTATTATTTCGTTGCTGTGGGCCTTCATACATCGAACCGATTTGAGCCTAAACACCAGGGGATGTTGCATGAAAACAGATGACATGTGCCAAAGCCAGGGGTTAAAGTGGCAGTGTAGCTAGCCCTACAGAAGGCAAGCATAAAGTGACTGATGCTTTTTAAGTAGCAGGTCATTTCAAATGCAGCTTTTCTATCAGCAAACTCACAAACTGTTTGTGTTGTCTTCACAAGGAGAGAGAAGAATGAGGGCTAACTTTACTCAGAGATGAAGAAAAATAGGGTTAGCTTTAAAGGGCTGCTCAGTGGTATTTAATAAACTATAAATGCAAAGACTGCATGTAAGCCCTTGTTTTTAAATGGGTCTGTACATGTGACACTGATTTGTTTTGTTTCACAATATGAAAAAACTCAAACTGAGGCAGACTAACTGTGTTATTTAAAGGCTGCATGAAAATCCTCTGCAGGTTAGTGTCAGATAAACAGGTTAGTTCACTGCACTGTGATGGGTTCAAATTAAAGAACAGTGGCAGTGGGTTCATGGTCACAGTTAGCGTACATCATGTGCAGCAGAGATTCATATACATTTTAGCTGATGATGCTGATATTCATTCACTGAATTCCACCTTCATACCAACTTTATATGAACTAGAAAAAAGACAGGATAAACAGTGTACTGTGAGTGTACTGTGACCAGGTGTGCCATGGAAGACTATCTGGGTCCACCTGATTAGATTAGTAAGCGACTGGCATGAGTCACGGGAGGACAGTACATAGCAATAGATAAATATGTGAAAAAGTAGTCAGTCTGACCTTGGTCCTGGAGAAAACTCCGAGCTAGATGAAGGCCCTAGCATGAGCAGTGGTCAGGAGAAAGCACAAAAGGTACACTGGGGACAAACTGAGCCAATTCTGCTCTGACTGTTATGCAGGGAAATCTTATCAATGTCCTTTTTGTGATATTTTTGTTTGGTGGTGTGCCGTGGGATTTTTGTAATGTGAAATATCTACCGTGGCTCCAAAAGGTTGGAAAACACTGACGTAGAGGATGAACTCGTGAACCATCTGCTTCCACCTTGTTGAATTCAGGTGTGTACATCCACAGAGAGCAGTGAAGAAGAAAATCTACTGGAGCTCTTAATAAAAATAATTGTGAGTTATGATTCTTTCCCCACACTGAGCCACAACAACTGATTTTAGGGTTCCCCACCTGGTGAATTTAATTTTCCTTCTCTTTCTTCTGATTTAAGCTGAATCATTACGATAACACTGTGAGGCTCAGTTAGCTTCAAATGTCCTCCAAAGCTTATCTTTTGCTTTCTTACACTGAGCATATTTCAGAGTCTGTACTTTTTTACTTTTACTTGAGTAAAGAAGTTGAATGAGTACTTCAACTTTTACAGGAGTAATTTTTAACACTAGTATCTATACTTCTACTTAAATACAGAATATCCATACCTTTCCCAACTGTTAGTAAGTAATGTTACTGGGCCTGTGGAGGCAGTGGAGCTGCCAGAGACCAGCCGTAGTGAGACAGCTCCTTACACAACAGAACCAGCTTTGACCCTGATCAGATTTGCACCCTTTCTTTTAGATCCACTGTAGCCATGGAGGCAGTGGAAAGTAAAGATCTTGGCTCTATCAAAGGGATAGCAGCTACCCACTGGTACAGATATAAGGATTACTCCTAAGTCACAATCAAAACTCAAGAAGGAGAAGCCTTCACTGTTCACATCATCTCAGTGGATAGAAACACAAAGTTCATCGGAGTAGATACAAAGACTTTTGTTTTAGAACGTGCTCTGTGCACTGCAGAGGTTGGAAGCCTCAACACTGACGTTTACTGGAAACCTACACACAAAGACAAGTGTCTACTGTTTGACTACCACCAGGATCAGGACCCTGCAACTGCAGGAAGAAAACATTCCCTCTAAGGCAGAAGGGAAAGAAAAGGAACATGCTCTTAAAACATGTGGTTATATTAACTTGGATAAACACAAAGAAACTCAAAGTTTTTCCTCAGCACATCCCATTGCACTTCAGACTCACTCCCAGTTAAAAACTGGTTTTTCTCAAACTCCCACACAAGCTAAGCAGCAAACTGTAACCTGTGTGTGGCAGGGGTGTGGTCTTTAGCTCTGCTGCAGTGGGACGGTGGTGCAGTGGGTTCAAAGGGCAGTGCCATGGAGGCTGAGGGCCAGGTGGAGGTAGTCAGGCTGATAATCTCTCTTCCCTTTTTAGTGTCACCGGGGACAGAGACAAGAGAGAATTGTGGGTTCAGCTGAAAAGCTGACCATGCCAGAGATGTTTGGTGCTGAACCATTCTGTGTGTGTGCGCCTAAATAAAAGTGGCAAAACAGCCAATTAATGCCGTGTCGGGATTGAACCATTCACAGTGGTGCCCAAATCCAGGCTCGATGTCCAGCCCTTAGTCCACGCAGCTGCTTCAGCTGCTGGCTCAAATGCTGATGCACCGTGAGCAAGCTTAGCGGCAGACGCAGGTGTTGGATGGAGCCACCCCGATGCACCGGATGGCGGAGGGCAACAACCTGCAGGTCTTTTTGGAGACCTTCCAGGCCACAGCAGAGGCATGTCAGTGGCTTGCCACTGAGTAGGCGCGGTGGCTGCTTCCACTGCTGTCTGGAGGGTCTCCCACGGCGTCTCTGAGCCTACCACCAACGTACCGAGGTAGCTTTAGGGAAATTCACAGCGCTGTGCTGGATTGTTTGGGCCTCTCCTCGAAGTATCATTAACTGCAGTTCTGGGCCAGTCAGATGATGGGGAGGACTGTGGAGGGGCTGCCAGGGGATATGCCACGATGAGAGTGGAGACTGCAGTCACGCTAGCAGAGGAGCACCTGGCCATGGGGGCAGAGGGAGCATGGAGTAGCAGCCCGCCGGCCACCAGCACTGCAACACACATACACATCCATTCTTGGTCACACCATGGGTTGGCAATAATGACTATGAAGTCAACATCGGCAGGGGAAGAGCCACACAGGTATATCACCTCAACCTCCTTAGAGGATGGCGAGAGGCTGAAATCACTTCTCCAATGAGCCTGGTGAAGGACAGAGATGAATTGAGCTGAACATAAACAGCAAATTGTTCAGAAGGAATTGGCAGAGATGCTGAAAATGGGAGTAATAGAAGAGTCACACAGAGCTTGGTGTAGCCCCATAGTTCTGGTCATGAAGAAAGGTGGGTCTATATGGTTCTGTGTCGTCTACCTACAAGGTGGACAAGGTGTCACGGTTTGATGCCTACCCCATGCCCCGGCTTGATGAACTCCTGGACTGGTTAGGCACCACTCAATTTTTTACGACACTGGATTTAACCAAGGGCTATTGGCAGATTCCCTTGTCTGCAGAGTCCAAGGAAAATCATTCTCCACTCTGCACGGTTTGTACCAATTTGTCTCACTTCCATTTGGCTTGTTCAGAGCCCCTGCCACTGTCCAGTGCCTCACGGACCAGGTGCTGGCGCCGCCTGCACCTGGTCACACCTGCTGCATATTCTGCTGCCTACCGGGCTGATGTGATCATCCACAGGAACACCTGGGCAGAGCATGTGCAGAGGGTGGGCACGGTCCTGCATTCCCTGAGGCAGGCAGGGCTCACGGCCAACCCAAAGAAGTGCGCAGTTGGACTGAGGGAGGTACAGTATCTGGGGTACCACTTGGGAGGCAGGCAGGCGCATCCACAGGCGGAGAAGACAGCCACCATTGGATCCTGCCCGTGCCCCAAGACCAAAAAGTAGGTGAGGTGGTTCCTGGGGCTGGCTGGGTACTATCGCCGGTTCGTGTCCGTGTTTGTGTCCAAGATCTGGCTCAGCGGTGCGTTTGTGCCGTTGAAAAAGGCTCTCTGTGGGGAGCTGCTGCTCAACACACTTAACTTTTGCCTCACTTTCATCCTGCAGACAGATGCCTCAAACAGAGGGCTCTGGCCAGATGCGGCCCAAGCCTCAGTCGGGCAGTGGGTCGGTGTGGCAGGGGTGTGGCCTTTGGCTCTGCTGCAGTGTAGGAGGGGTGGGGGAGGGAGGCTGAGGTCCAGGTGGAGGCAGTCAGACTGATGAACTCTCTTCCCTTTTTAGTGTCGCCAGAGATTGGAGACAAGAAAGAAGTGTGGGGTCAGCTGAAAAGCTGACCATGCCAGAGATATTTGGTCGAACCATTTTGTGCAAGAGTGTGTGTGTCTGAATTAAATGAAAACAGCCAATTAACGCCATGCCGGGTCTGAATCGTTCACACCATGCAGTGCAGCACAGAATGCTCAGACCTCTACAATGGAGAAACCAAACAGCTGCTCCATAAACGTATGGCAGAACATAGAAGAGCCACCTCTGACAGGACAAGAGTCAGCTGTACATCTGCACTTAAAAGATACAGGCGAGGATGCTAATGTTCACATTTTGGACCAGAGGAGAGAGAGGCCATCTATGTTGTTGTAAGCCACCTCCTCTGTTGAACGACAGTCACTGAACAGAAGGGTGGGTAATGACACCAACTGTCAGCCACCTACGGTGCAGTCTTCAGATCCCTTCATCAGGCCTCCAGCTCACCTTGAAAGAGTTTGCAGCCAAGTATGAGGAGGCAGGAATGAGAATTAGCAATGCATCAAGATAATTATTGTTGAGCTTCTTAAAATTGGGAGATATGTAATAGAAATGGCAGTTAATGCAGTACTTCTGTTAAATCCCATGAATGAAAGGTGAAAGCCTGCACTTCAAAAACATCTGGATTGTTTGATTTAAAATCTTCTTTCCTCGTATGCAGAGGCAAAATTACTAAAAGAATTGCTTCATTGTCCAAATGCTTAAAAACTAACTGTATACTATAAGAATTGTATGTCTTTAAGAGTCCTACTCTTCCTCTGTCCTCCTACTATGCAGGGCTTGCTGGTGTCCATGCAGGGCATCTCCACACAGTTCTCCAGTCGCCCACTGGGACCACAGCTGCACACCTCGAAGCAAACCGTAGGATCAGTGCGCGTAGGCACTTGGATACGAGCATCCTGTTGCACCAAGAACTCAGAGGCTTCACCCATTTTGCAGCCTGAAAACATAAAAACAGACTTCAGCCTCTTGAATGTGAATAATGTGAAGCTGCAGAAACGGACTGTAGTTTGTCTTACCTGGCACACAGAGGTATGGCTGACAGTTTAGCTCATCGAGGCAGCCCTTCCTGTTCACCTGGCATATGTGGTTGCTTGGACAGGGGTTAGGATTGCATGGATGGATAACCTCCTTAACAGTGTTGCTGCCTAGGGAGCTGGGTGCTTAATGGTGTGTGGAAAAGGAAAGTACCATTAATGCTTTCTGTTTTTAAGAATGTGAATATGTGTTTTCAAAAGAAAAGTCTCATCAGGAGAAAAGAGACCTAATGCAAATCTACTATGAATTCTAATACGTAGCATATAGAGGCTCGATGTCCAGCCCTTAGTCCTATGTAATGGAAAGACAGTTCCAGCTGAGCCTGACTCTGTCTTTCCATTAAATAGGACACGTGCTTATTGATCAGATCATTCAGTAACTTCAAATATAATAAGTGTTGGGACAACTGTTGTTGTAAAAAAGGTCTACATGAACTTCAAATTAAAAGCTGAAACTATTAGAGACCATTTTTGGCATGAACTGGATGCTCTAACATCCATGATTTGGGACTAGGAGCCAAAGACTGACAAAACAACTACAGAAAATTGCTGCACATTCTGCTGTGCATGTGTATAATGTATGCTTTTTTATTGTATAAAGCAACGCGTGAATCTATTTACATTTGTACCATATCATCAAAACTAGCCTTAAGCTGAAGGTAATTAAAGAAAAAAAAAGCAACTCAGTCATCTTGGCTACTGGTAACGTCAGGGGCACAGACGCTTGTGTTTTAGGCATCATTTCTGTTAAGAATAACTGAACTACACCATTAGCTTGGCTAATGTTCCCAGTGTGCAGACAAACAATAACAATAATTAAAATAATAATAATAATGATAATAACTCTTTCAGTTTCTTGTTTTCAGTGCATTACCTTGGCAACAGGAAACAGCGACACAGAAAATGTCAAACACTAGTGACTGTAATCACTGAAAGGCCCATTTTGAAACCACTGAGCATTGGATCGGGATGATAATATTTCTTTAAGTCTGCTGTGTTACAAGCAGCAACGTGTTTGCTAAAATGTTATTCAAAACAACATTGTAGGATGTACTGTATCCACCAGCTTCTGAGCATCTGTGCTCTGCTGCCCTCTAGTGGCAAACTCAATTGATTTTTCAAAAGTTTTTCTTTTGTTATTGAATTACAAGACTGCATCTGTTTCATTTACAGCTGATCCCTTCTGTTTCTGTATAATGCAAACAAACGCTGGAGTAACCTGACTCACTAAGGTATCTGTAGAGAGGGATGCAGTGTTCAGGGTCATCAATAGGCGACAGGAGCTCACAGATCCTCTCTGGTGTTTGTCCTTCGTGAAAACGTTTTGTATCTCCACACTGGGTCAGGATATCCACACAATCTGATCTGAAGACAGATAAAACAAATAGAACAGCTGGTACGTACAAGACAAGAAAAGACAACAATACTTTATTTGTTCGAGATTTTAAAATGATTTAGTTAAAGTCAGTAAAAACATTCTAAATAAACTAAAATATGTGTGAAGTTTGCATGTTCTTCCCGTGCTTGCCTGGGTTCCCTCTGGCTTCCTCCCACAATCCAAACACATTCAGTTAGTGGGGTTAGGTCAATCTAAACTGAATCTGAGTGAGTGTGAATGGTTTTATTTCTCTCTGTGTTCGCCCTTCATTAAGCTACCTGTCCCCGCCTCTTGCCCTATGGTAGCTGGGGTAGGCTACAGCCCCCCGCGACCCTGATAAGGATAAGTGGAAGAGAATGGATGGATGACAAGAGGAATATCCCAAGGTAACACTGAACCCGAATTCTAAATAAAATAAAGTGGGTACAAGTTTAAACAAAATACAAAGTAACAATGCTGTGTAACATTTTTTTCTTGTCACATCAGCTGATGGCCTCCAGCTTGCACTGAGGTGGTTCACAGCCAAGCTGAAGTGGCAGATATCACATTTAGTGCCCACCCACTCCATGACATGTTGGTCAGTCACAGGAGCTCGTTCAGTGAGAGACTGAGATTACCGAAAAGCACCACTGAACGACACAGGAAATCATTCCTGCCTGTGGCCATCTCCCTGTACAACGCATCCACTTAACACACTGTTTGCTGCTACAGCTACACATGTTTCTTTTCCAAATATTTATTTATAAGTGACTTATGTATGTATGTATGTATATATATGTATATATTGTACTATTCTTAGTTAGCGTATTGTCTGTCTTGTCTTAATGTTGGTTTAAAATGGAGCACTGTAACAAAAAATAATTTCCCCCAGGGATCAATAAAGTATTCTGATTCTGATTCTGATTCTGATAATACTGAAGCCATGGTTTTTTTGGCCAGAAGGGGGAGTTGTTCCCACTCTGGGGTCGGGATGAGTTGCTGCCCCAAGGAGAGGATAATAAAAGTATCTCAGGGGCAGAGGGGAGCGGGAGAAGGACAGACGAACTAGTGTCACGTCTGCTGTGATGCAGAGTGTTAATCAATTTACAAAGCAGGTAACAGCTGACGGCACGCCACACACACAGCCGCCATCTTTATTCAACACAGGTGCGATAGGGTGAGGGGTTAAGTCATTGAGGACTCACATTCGTTTCTTATTGGTTGTATTATGACAGAGCTTTACATTCATTATAGATATAACAGAGAGAAGTACAACAACAGTCATGTGAAGGTGAGAGGAGACCTACTTGCATATAACGCTCCCTCTGGACCTGCTGTGGCAGGGTTTGATCTGCAGGGCGCAGGCCACAGCCTTCCACATGTGGGGCTGACACTTCCTAATGTCCAGCACAGGGATGTTCATGAAGGGCATCTTAATTGTACCATTAGACCACAGCTTGATGTCATTCATGGCACCCTGGTCTGACTGGATGTTACAGCTGCGAAACAGCTCCGTCGGCCTGTGGACAGACACAGAAACACAACAGGAAGTCAATGAGCTGTTCAGCGGTGCACGTGCAGCAGCTCCCACAGAGGGAGCCAGAGATCCTCTGAGAAACGTCACACAGGTTTTCCCTTCTTGACCACATCAGGAATCGTCTGTGGCGTCTGATTGGTGGGTTTAGTCTCAAGTGAGTCAGCTAATTGGTGGTTTAAAATACCGACGGTTCCACAGGGAAGGTTCTGGGTGTGGTTCTATCACTCTGTGTGTGTGGGGATTCTGTAACCATCATGGCCAACTTAGGTTTGACTTCCAAAGCAAAACTAAATGTGGTAATGCACGGGGTCAGGCTAACAGGAGCTTAGTCCATGCAGGAGTGCAGCAGTACAGAGTCAGGCTTTTCCATCGTTTTCTGACAGAGTTCTCTGAGAGGAATTTATTCTTAATGTGGCAAATATCAGTGGAAGTCTGCACTGTGGCTGCTGCGTAAAAGAGTGCAGTTTGAAATCTCCACAGGTACTGATACAGCTCTGCTGCTGTGGACGGCCAGCATCTCCTGGGTCTTCCCCTATCAGCCTCTGCGTCTCATTATTGCAGTGTCACATCCTGACACACACACACACACGCACACAGAGTAAAATAGTGTTTTTTCTGTGTGTGTGTGTACCTCCCTGTGTGTGTTGGTGCTGTGTACAGAAGCAGCATTCCTCTCTTTTTCTGTCTCCCGTTTCCTTTTCCTGTTTCTCTGCTTTCTTCTCTTATCTTTCATCAGTCTGGCGTTGACCCCGCCTGCTCCAGCATAACATCCACAAGACAATAATATGAATAAAAAAATAAAACAAAAGCATAAACCAGAAAAAAGCCTCCTAGCCTCTACCACTGCGCCTACACTGGTTGAACTACCTTCCTGATATTTATACTTATTGCTGTGAGTAAAACAATCAGAAGAGTCTGTTCAGTGACAGGTTGCTTCTCCCAAAGACAAGAACTAACAGACTTAAAAACTCCTTTGTCCCACACGCCATCAGACTGTTTAACTCCTCCCTGGAGGGGAGAGGGAGGGGAAACAGGAGGACAAAGGAGGGAACAACTAAGCTGTAGTGCCTCTTCACCTCACTGTACAATACCTTTTGTGCAATACTTTTGTAAATAGTCAACGGTGCAATAGACTCAATACTTGAAATGTGCAATTCACTTGTATTTTTATTTTTATTCCTATTTATTCTATTTATCCCCTTCGTATATTTTATTTATATTATCTCTGTATTTATATATGTGTGTGTGTGTATAACTCTGTAACTTCTGTCGGTGCTGTGCTTTTTTGGAAATCGAATTTCCCAGAGGAACCCACCCGAGGGATTAATAAAGTTCTATCTTATCTTATCTTATCTAAAAGACAGGCTGCAAAGTGTTATAAAAGTGTTATAGTGCCTTTTCTAGTGCTGTTATATTTTTAAATAAAAAAAGAGGTTCAGATACAGCCACTTAAAATTTCTAGCTGCTCTGTGTCAGGTCCACGATGGAGCTTGGGGGTGTTGCACACTCACAATCACCCACAAAAAAAAACAGTTATGGTGGGGGGAAGAGAGTATTGACAGGTGTCCTTATCCTGCAGATGAAATAGGTAGCCAACTGACATGTCAGGCTGTGTCAGGGCTATCTGACCAACAAGGAGAGTGATGGAGTGCTGGTGGTCTAGCCTGCACAGTCACCTGACCAGTGGAGATGGTTTGGGATGAGATGGAGCGCACAGTGAAGGCAAAAGGACCAACAAGTGCTCAGCATCTCTGGGAACTCCTTCCAGACTGTTGGAAACCATTTCAGGTGACGACTCATGAAGCTCATGGAGAGAACGCCAAGAGTGAGCAAAGCAGGAATCAAAGCAAAGGCTGGATGTTACAAAGAATCTCAAATATCAAACGTTCTGAGTTAATTCATACTTTTTTGTTTGTGTTCATTCATAGTTTTGATGCCTTCAGTGAGAATCTACAATGTAAACAGTCATGAAAATAAAGAAGAACCATTAAATGAGAAGGTGTGTCCAAACGTTTGTGCTTACAGACTGATCACACGTGCGACACACCAAAACAAGTTTAAAGGATCTATGATGTCATTGATACCAGTGAAGAACAAAACCGTAACAGCTAATTATAGACCCATATGCCCAAAATATGTTGATCGGAAAATACTGTCAAAAACTCTTAGCAGTGAGGTTAGAGAAGCTGGTAATTATTCATGAGATCAGGTTTCACGCAGAACAGGTCTGCAGCTGGTAACACGAGGACGGCCTGGAAGAGCTGCTGCCGTGTCTGTAGATGCCACCGAGCCGCACCTTAGTTAAACTGGAAATGAATAAAAATGCATCGTACGTTTTAAATTAAATGAACTGATACTTTAAAAGCAACGTATATATTTAATTAATTATTACAAGTTTTAATGAATTCATGACACAACAAATTATTTAATGATGAACTTGATTTATTTTGGCAGTCATGGCCCTCCATAATACTATCGTGGGAGCTAGGACTTGTGCTCAGTTCAGCCCAGTTTGCAGTGGACAGTCTGCTGCCAACCTTACTAAACTGTGATTCATTAAATCTTCTCCCAGCTGCAGAAATACAGTCATGCACGACTTTTAGTCACAAAAATGAAAATGCACCAACAGTAATTACTGCCAGCAGCAGAAACAAATGGTGTTGCACTGGTGCAGCCCACTACGTCTCAGTCTTCCTACATTTAGTCTACAATACAAACTATCCAGCTGTGGCTGCTTGGCTCCTCTATCCTATGGAAGTGCAGTATGACAACGTGGGAAGGTATTTCTGTTATGTTTGTATTTGTCAGGCTGTCAATAACAACATCTGGACAGCCATACTTGGATATGCAAAATAAAGTAAAACATCCAAAAGTTTGGATCACCAGTAAAACCAATGAAATACTTTTTTTGTATCTAGTATTTATAAACATATAAAATCACTTGGAAATAACTTTTCATCATGTACTTCCTGTTTTTGAAACGCTCTGTGTGTGGGCTTCACAACAGGAGACACTGTGTACAAATAACACACACTATACTGCAAACACACATATGAACCTGAGCGACAGCCTGTTCTTACTCAAACTTAAGAAACAAATGAAGCTAAAAACGTCTTTTTTATATTTTCATGTTATTAATTACATAATTATTCAGTTTAAATTGAAGGGGACCTTTAAGTCAGAAGCTATGTTTCTTGAATTCTCCCAGAGTGGCCCCATTTCACTTCATCCACCATCCCATTCACACACCACTGTGTGTCTGTCTATTCATACATTTGTGTCTCCATTTCAGAACCCACAGGGTCTATTTATACACATTTTCTTTCATACAAGAACTCAGAAGCTCAAACTGCAGAGGAGGCTGTTCTACGTGGACCACACTCAGCAGTTTAACAGAGGTAAAGCGCTGCCTGAGGACATGCTCTCCCACACTACTGTGGAATAATCTCACTGGCTTACACCACTGATGGTGGCTCTTTGCCTCAAGTTCAACACGGTCCACTCAGTTCCTGCCCGAATGTGAAAATGACCCAGATACCATGACAGGACGTTTCTTTCTTGACCCTTTACTCCCAGTCACATTTATGGCAGCAGTTAATAAGTTGCTTAGTTAACTAATAATTAATGAACTCATTTAGTTAGACAATATTCTGTGGTTATCTGATTTTTAACAAAACAGCGAACACGTGGCCAGGACATGGCCTCCATCGTGCACCAAGGTCTTTCTATTCTACTTCTGGTAACTGGAGGGGAGTTTGTTTGGTGCTCTTATACAACTGATAAAACAGATTATTTGACATCAGTTTATTGATTATCCATCTGCTCGATCCCTGACCGCCTCAGTCTGCACACCAAGTATACTAGGGCATCATACTAACCCCAGGTTGTTGTCTGAGGCACTTTGAAAAAAGTGCATGTATGGATGAGGCGAGTTGTTTCTACTCTAACTGAGCACCCAAGAGCTATAGAGATTGACAGACCACGTGACTTTCGCGCATTGCATGCCGGGAACTCGTGGCAAAACAATCCAAGTACTTGCATCAAATGCAAGCATTTGCAGCACCGCAAAACGTTCATTCTCCGGTTCCAATACCTTCTTGTTTTTTCTTTGCCCCCCAATAAGTTATGTACAAAACGAAGGAGAACAATGCCGGTCCGTACAAAGACAGACTTGATGAAAAGACAAAGAAAAGATACGAGGAAAAAATCAAAGGAGTGAAAGAGTCAGACCCTCACGAGCACACAGAGGGACAAAAGATGTTAGCGTGCTGCCCAACTTTCACCACGCTCATATTTATAATTATACGGTTCTTGGAGTGAGTGCACACACTCATGAAGTTTAGTAACTTCAGGTCACTGCAACAAGCCCAGGTACAGTTTACCGACGGATGGGTGCAGGACCTTGAAATGCACCGTGTAGAAAGTAAAGACCATCGTACATATCATAAGTTTACCAGTCTCACAAATCGTCGTCATAAATACACATTCGTTAACCGTTTATTAATATAACATTTGAGCTCAATGGTAATTAATTAGTAGTGGAAATAATTTCTGGTAGCATCACAGAAATGTAGCAGTGACAACAATATTGTATGTTGTAATCGTACTGGACAATTAGTGATACAAAACAACTGTTTTATCCTGTGAATAAAAGTATATGTTTTTGTCAATGTACCATAATAACAGAAGCGAAACGCAATATTGTGTCAGGACAATTCACTATTTATGCACAACAAACAAAGGAGCATAGCGCCACAATTTCTGTTCAGCGCCAGACTTGCTTGTAACCTATATCACCAATTATGTTAAGAAAAATGACGCATTAACTACAACAGCAGACTGACCTTCGTGTAAATGCTTGGAGCAGACTAACCTGTGAGCTGGAGTGTTCTGGGACGTTATATTTGATCTTTGAATGGCTGCAATCCAGTCGCGTCTTTGTTACTTCGGAAACATGGCTCGAACAATTTCTCTTCAACGACG